AGTAGACTGGTACAGTGCCTTGTAAAAGTATTCATCCCCTAATGTAAACAGTTTATTTTAATGAACTTGTTTTTATTCAAAACTCTAATGATAATAATGTATAAATTGAAATTTGCTGATTGCATAAGTATTCATCCCCTAAGTCAGTCTTTGGTGGAAGCACCTTTGGCAGCAATTATTGCTGTGAGTCTTTTTGGATAGGTTTTAAAAGCCTTGCACAATGGGAGGTGTAATTTTTTGCTTATTCTTCCTGGCAAAATCGCTCCAATTCTGACAAGTTCGTTGGGGTTCGTGTATGAACTGCAGTCTTCAAATCTCACCATAAATTTTCTATTGAATTCAAATCAGGAATCTGACTGGGCCACTCCAGGGCATTCGCTGTCTTCTTTTGAAACCACTCCAGTGTGGCTTTGACCTTGTGCTTCGGGTCAGTGACCTGCTGAAATGTGAATTTTCGGCCCAGTTTTAGATTCTTGGCTGACTCAAGCAGAGTTTCCTCTAGGACTCGCCTGTACTTTGCACCATCCATCTTCTCCTCAATCATGACAAGTTTCCCAGTCCCTGTTGATGAGAAGCATCCCCATAACATGATGCTACCACCAAAATGCTTGACAATTGGGATAGTGTTGACTGGGTGATGTGATGTGTTGGGCTTGCGCTAGACGTAACACTTTGAATTTTGACCAAAAAGCTCAATTTTTGTCTCGTCTGACCATAAAACCTTCTACCGCATGATTACATGCTTTATTGGAAACTCCATACGCGATTTTCAGTAATGGCTTATTTCTTGCCACTCGCCCATACAGGCCAGCTTTGTGTAGGGACCAGGATATTGTCGATGTATGAACACTGACTCCCATCTCAGACATCGAACTTTGCAAATCTTTCAAAGTCACTGTTAGCTTTACAGTGGCATCCCTAACCAGTTTCCTGCTTGCCCGGCTGTTTAATTTGGAAGGGCAGGCTGATCTGGGTGGTATGAAGCACATTCCATTTCTTAATGATGGACTTCACCGTACTCAGCAACTTTGAAATTTTCTTGTAACTTTCTTCTGATCTGTACTTCTCTACAACTTTGTCTTTGTCGTATCACTATACGAGTTGTTGATTACCTTCCATACTAATCTTTTGCACCTGAACTGATTTAGGGTTGCTGCAGCAAAGGGGTTGAATACTTATGCAATTGAGAATAGTCTAATTTTCTTTAAAAATCTAACTTACTTACATAATATCAATTTTTTTTTAGTTTTCTCAGTTTGGAATAGATTGAATATATTATAAATATAAAGTCCCATTTGAAAGTTTCATTATTGCAAGCTC